GTCTCCTGCTCCTGCAAGTAATGGCCTTATGAAGAAGAGGTCAAGTAGTGCCCAGAGCCTCACACTTCAGGGAGTGTCTCCAGCATGTGCTGCATGTGCTTTACCATAGTATTTTGACTGCTTTATCCTTCAGTCCAGTGGTCTGCAGAGGCTCTCCTTGCCTGCTGTGGGCAATGATTGGTTCCTGGCCTGAATGTGGCAAGTTTTAATTAGGTGTGCTCTGGTCTACTTCTGAAATGAGACCTGTCACCATCTCCACCAGAACTAAGGCCCTTAAGAACTCTGGTCAGGAGATATGATGTGGACAGGGTTTTGTGCTGGTCTTCTTTGGGAGGGGCTCATTGTGCTGGGACTGAGGCAAACTTGACTGAGAAAGGCAGTCCTGCCCGAGTGCCAAGGGGTGGGGCTTAGTGTAACCAAGTAAAACTGCTAGTTTCAGTGCTGAGCTCCTTCCCTTAGGTGGCTCTATGCTTAGCAGATGAGTGGGGGAGGAAAATGGCACTAGCCAGCTCCCTTGTTTCCAGAGCATGTCTCCCTGAAGGCTGCCTCTCTAGGAAGCACTCCTAGAATAGTGAATAATCTCGCTGCTGTGTGCCCCAGGTGTTTTTCATATTGTCTGCCCCCAGGTAGAACACTTATTTTAATAATATATATCTACCCAAATATAATTTAAGAGTGTTTAGTATCACTTATTTGATGATGCTTCCCATGTAGTTTAATATAACAAATAAGCCTAATTAGTTTGATTTCTCACAATATTTTTGAAATGTTCCAGGAGGTCTCTAGAGCACTTCAGTTAGATTGTGGTCAAAATATATCATTTTAGAATATCATTTGGGGAAATATGTAAAAAAAAATATTAAAAGGTTTGGACTATTGATTAAATTGAATCCCAGATCATTATGAAACACTATTTATCTATTTAACCAAAGTGACAATAGAAGATTTTTAAAGGCAAATATAAAAGGTTACATAGTTGTGAACAAAACTTGGATCTTTTAGTATTAAGAAGTTTCAGTTGTCTTGAATAATGAATGTTTTGATAAAGAGAAAACATAGGATTTTTGTTTTTTAGGCAGATTACATTAAAGGTAGAGAAAACTTTGTTTACAATTTCTTATTAAGAAATTAGAATCTAAGAAAACTTTGGTTTTTAACAGAGAAAAAACAAACTGTAATTGTACCAGTGTGCTGTTGATATTAAAACTAATTTTAAAAAATTTATTCTAATCTTAGCCATTACCAACCATATGTAAAATTAATTTTTTAAGGTTATTTTTTTATGAATGTTTTATAACTCTATATTTTACATTCAGATTTTATCCTAAATTTTTCATCTTTAAGTAACCAGCCTCACTTTAGGGCAATTCTTTTCCTTAACAAAAATGTATTTAATTAATTAATTTATTTATTTATTTATTTATTTATTTATTTAATGTTTGTTTTTTGAGAGAGAGCAGGGAAGGGGCAGAGAGAGAGGAAGGCACAGAATCCAAAGTAGGCTCCAGGCTCTGAGCTGTCAGCACAAAGCTCAACATATTGCTCAAACTCATGAACTGCAATATCATGACCTGAGCTGAAGTCAGATGACTGAGCCATCCAGGCGCCCGTATTTTTTTTTTAAGTTTATTTATTTTTACAGAGAGCATGCATGTGCATGAGCCAGGGAGGGGCAGAGAGAGAGAAAGAAAGAGAGAGGAAGAGAGAGAAATCCCAAGTAGGCTCTGCACTGTCAGTGCAGAGCCAGATTCAGGGGCTCAAACACATGAACCATGAGATCATGACCTGAGCTGAAATCAAGTCAGGCAATTAACTGACTGAGCCACCCAGGTGCCCCAATAAAAATGTATTTCTGTTTCTAAAATGTTTTCTTATCTTACTTTCCTTGTATTCAGAGTTGTTTCTCTTATTATCTCTAGGAGTCTTAATTACATTTATTAGAATTCTTAATTAATTCTTAATTTTCTTGTGTCCAAATAGTAAGCAACTGTGAACTGTTATGCCAGAATTTTTAAATTGGCAAATTTATTAATACATTTCATAATTTAGAAACATGTGTTTCTTCATAGTACAATTTTCCACTAAAACACAAAACATGTTTTGCTAACCATTTCTTTATAAAAAGACAAAAGACAAAATTCTCAACACTCAGTGTTTATAACTTTATCTTTTTGGGAAATGACTTAAATATTTAATGAATTCAACCCAATTTATCATTTAATTTAGCAAAATTTTAAGGTTTTAGGTTACCAGAAATGTTTTGGAGAAACTTTTAAAAGTTTATCTGAAAACTTTTAATGTTATTTACATTTATTTATTTGTTCTTAAAAATTATGCTTAGGGGGCGCCTGGGTGGCGCAGTCGGTTAAGCGTCCGACTTCAACCAGGTCACGATCTCACGGTCCGTGAGTTCGAGCCCCGCGTCGGGCTCTGGGCTGATGGCTCAGAGCCTGGAGCCTGTTTCCGATTCTGTGTCTCCCTCTCTCTCTGCCCCTCGCCCGTTCATGCTCTGTCTCTCTCTGTCCCAAAAATAAATAAACGTTGAAAAAAAAATTAAAAAAAAAATTATGCTTAGATTACCCATAAAAACTTCAAGAGACCTCAAAGTCAGTCATCCTTTCAAGCTATTATTACTATTTTAAACAATTTGTGACAGAGATAACTTATTTGACTTTAAGTAAACACAGGCAGAATAAAAATTTTAATTTTAATGTAATAACTTTAAAGACATGTCTATTTTAATTAAAACCAACAACCTTAAATTAGCTTTAATAGTGAATATTTTCCCAGATAACATGAACTTGTAAAATATTTGGGTTAGTATCTGTCTTTCTGTGAGTTATAGAATGCCCAATCCTTACAAGTGCTTGTCTTCAAACCAACTAAACAGAGCTTTTCTACAAATTAATTTTTGCATTAGCATTTGGAGGTAGAGAAAATATCTCACATTTACAGCAGACATGGACACATACACAAATATACAAACAAGAGGCAAGCAAACTCTTATAGCTTTTATTTTATTAATATTTGTGCAGAGTACATTATAGGCCCAATTTCCAAATGCCTGCTGCTGCTGCTGGTTCTTCTTTTTCTTCTCCTCCTCCTCTTCCTCCTCCTCCTCCTCCTCCTTCTTCTTCTTCTTCTTCTTTTTAATGAAAAACTTTTCCTTAAAGTTTGCCTTCAAAGAACGGTTCATAGGTCCTAGAGAAGAGAGGTAGAAGGGTTTGCCGAGAAAGTATCCAAGTTTTCTCTAAGGTGGAGATTTGGAACATATCTGCCTGTTATCAGAGAGATGCTAGAGTCTGGGCTTAACAGCCCTTTCAGCAGTTTCTATTTTTTAAAAGCAGTTTGTATTTTCCCCCTCCCCCCCTTTTTTTCTTTAGTCTCAAGTGGACTAAGTGCTGTGTTTACACTTCAACAATATGGTAAGATTTGTAACTTTAAAGGAACAGAGAAAGAAAGAAAGGATTTTTTTTCTAAATATAAGACAGTTGTGTTGCAGTATTTTGATCTTTTATAATATCCACAAACATTTTGAGAGTAATAGGTAAGATTTATAAAGATGGGTGGTGGGCTTTGACTTGATTTTAGAGTTGCATCTCCAGTTTTGTAGATACTTGTAAGACAAAGACAGTTGTTTTTAATTCCCCCTCAAAACTGGATTACAGCCTGAATATCAAGGGACTGACCCACAGTTTCAACTAAATTTGTTTCTTTATGTCAGGGAGATTTTTAACTAAAATGGGAATCAGAAGATTTATGCCTTTGTAAAATCTGTATAATGAATTTAACAAAAGCCTTCTTTCTGGGTACACAATTCAACCTTGGCTTCTATTACTCTCTGAATACTGACCTTTTGCACTTCATATGTAGGAGAGGCTAAGAGAAATTTTGATCATGTTTCCTCTGTGAAGGGGGTTTTTCAGGGGGCAGTCTAAAGTGCCTAATAATCATAATATAATCTTGGGCTGGAAGAACTCCCCTTAGCAGCTAGTCTAGGTCTCTGTGAATGAGGTTGTGAATAGCAATTAATCTCCAATTATTCTCTAAATTTGGTCAGATCTTTTGAAAGTGGAGGAAAAAGGGCTTTATAATTTAAAAGATCCTCTGCTGTTCAGGGGATATGAATTCTTTGTAGTGCCGGTGGGGTTTGGATACATCTGTGAAAGTTATTGCATAGAAATGCCTGAAGTTGCCAGAGCTTGATTAGAGAGCAAATTGAGCCATACTGCCTGTCTCAGGTGTTTTTGCTAAATTCAGTTTTGGCTTTCAGTATTTACAAGAGTAGCCTGGATATGTTGAACCTTAAGATTAGGCCACAGTGCTTTCTGCAAATCTTATAGGGAGAGGGAAGTTAAAACAGGCAGATGGAACTGGATTTTAAGAAGGGGAATTTTCAGTGGATGTGGACATTTATTTGTCTTAAGTCTAATATGTATTTTTTAGTTTATTTTATTTTGAGAGAAACAGAGAGAGAAAAGGCAGAGAGAGAATCCCAAGCAGCCTCCGCGCTGTCAGTGCATAGCCCAACATGGGGCTCAATCTCACGAATGGTGAGATCATGACCAGAGTCGAAATCAAGAGTCAGATGCTTAACTGACAGCTACCCCGTTTCCCCTGTCTTAAGTCTAATTTTATTCTTTTATCTTATAAAGGGAGTCCCTAAGGCCAGCTAGTATTCTAATAAGACAACTGAGAGATCTTTATAAAATATTTTTTTTCAAATATAGCCAATTTAAAGGATCCATTGTCTGGCCATTGTTGGATATTTGTGAATAGTACCTATTAATAGTGACTCAAACCAATAAGCCTTTTAATGCTTTAACCAGAGATGCAAGAGGCATCCACAGAGGGCATAGAATGAGCCCCCATGATTCAAATGTTCATTCCCAAAATTAGTCTAAGAAAGTGTAGACCGTTTTTGCACAGGTGGTAAGGATAGTATAGTAAGTACAGTGTCTCTGGTCTCGCATGAAATCATGAGATACCTTCTTTTACAGACCTGCTCATCTGTGACACTGGGCACGTGCTACTGGAGTGTACTTTTTCCAGCACTGATAAGCAATGAAGGTTGAGACAACAAAGGCCCCTTGGGGGCTGAGGCCTCTTACGACTTATTCCCCTGAGAGTTTGCACGGCTGGACAAGGAATGTGCTATCTGTAACTGTGTGTCTTGGATCCCCAGTCTATTTGGCCACCAAGGACACCCTGGTAAGTGCACACTCTGAATAGCAGAGACCAGAGAGAATGTTCTCACTAGTCATAAAACTAAGCTGTTAGGACACAGAACAAAATGAAAGGAAAAACCTCATTCAGTTTTTCTTATATGCACATTAACAGCTTAGGCTAAGTCTTGCATCTCTTGGAGCCACACTAATATGTAGAAGGGATGTGCTTCAGGAATGGGGAGGTGTGTTGCTTTACAGTGTACCTTGTTGCACAGAAGTTTTCTTGAGGTTGGCAGGTGACCTAGTGTCAATTTAACCTGTTCTGTGACCAACTTATCCTAATATGGGACTCTTTGAGTTAGGTGGCAAACACTCTAATAGCTTTTAAATGCTTCATCCAGGCCCACCAGTTTTGTAGCTTTGGCTTCCAAGATGTCCCTTAGCAATAGCCTTTACCTCATGTGTGCATTATCCCACAGCAAAGTTTGTCTAAACAGACAATGGTCTGATGAGAACTATGAACTCACCAGTCTGGAGTCTGGCTTGAACAACAGGCTTATAGAGCCTATACCTGAATTCTGCCCTATGGTAATTCCTTTTTATGACAAATGACACAAAAGACAGAGAAAAAGAAAAACAAAGACCATCTCTGGGAGTAATGGGTCAGAAAACAAAAATTACTCTACCAAATTTTTACCAAGAGTCTCCAAGCCCAAGGAACTAGTTCCACATTATCTTCTCCTGCTAATCTAAATTTAGAGAGAGAAAGCAAGATTCCCACCACTCTTGCTCCGTATAATTCTGCAGGCAGAGATTACAGGAGGCTGACCTGGTGGGAAATCTTTCCTTCTGTTGACTGTATGTCTGATGTCCCAGAATCTCTTAGTTGCAGCATTGTCTAGGGCAAGTGTGTCAAGCATCCTGCTGACTATGTCAAATAAAGGGAAGGAAAAATTTTTCTCTACCCTCAATATCTTCCAAATGAACTCAGAATTAAATTTATATGAAACAGATTAACAGGAGAAAATAACTCAAAGTTTTATCACATGGGCATGGAGGCCCAACAATGAAATCGAGACCTAAAAATGATTGGTCTGGCTTAGTAAATTAGTATAAAGTAACAAGGGTTTTTTTATACATACTTTTTGTCTCTAAATTTCCCATCTCTGATGATGATAAGGATGTCTCTTTACCTCCTGGTACAGGTGTGGTACCTTTCACATGGGAAATTTCTTTCCTAATTTCAGGTGTACACGGGTCTGATTGTGTTTGCATGGGCTGTCTCTTAAGTAACGTATATTTTAAATAATCTGTATGCCAAAATGCCACATTTTGGGGAAGACTGCCGTTGGCCCCTACAGCAGTTTTGGTAGAAATGAAGTTGGTATTTTGACCCCTATTACATTCCTATATCTGTTTATCAATCGGTTCAAAATTCAGAAGGATGGAATGTCAATAATTATCACTTGTGAGCCATAATATAAGGCAGTAATGATCATAGCATTTTCAAGTTAGGTGGAAGTGAAGAGGACAAAAGAATAAAGGACTTGTGGTAGAAAGAAGTAAGTGTTGGTGTAAGAAGGAAGGGGATAGACTGTTCTGGTTGCCATAATAAGGATGGAATATTCACAGTCTAGCTGCTATAAGAGAGGTGTAAAATTAATTTCAACACAATGAGCTAAATGCTAAACATTATTATAAAGAATCTTTCCAAGAATGGGAGAGGCTAATGATTTTGCTCCAGAAGTGTGTGAGAAGATCCAGGAGGAAGACGGTAGGATAATCTTGGAAGGTTTTACAGAGGTGGTATATTCCAAAAGTTGATGGTACTGTGTGTCAGCAGCATCTCCCATATCCAACCCCACAACCCCTTGGGGAGCAGCAAGAGATGATACTGAAAAAGAAGGCAAAAGAGAGTGGTAAAGAATTTGCATTAGGTGTTAGAGGCAAGAGCCCCCTGGAGTTTGTTTCACTGTACAGATTTATACATTACAGCACAGTAGATATATCAGCCATGACACTGTTTCCCCCAGGGCCAGGAGCAAACACACCATTTGAAACCTGCCATGACCTTAGCTGGCAAGAGTTCTTTAGAGAGGAAGAGAGGCTGCCTTCCTATTTGGTTCTAAATGTGGTAAGAATTTCTCCATTAACTGAAGCTTTTCTTGGAGGTGCCTGCTCATTTTTTCTCTCAGTGGATTCTTGCTGCTGGTGCCAGGAAAAGCTTTGGAAATGAGCGCAGTATCCATTGGGAGGCTGCAGTGAACATGCCCATTTTGCTCCATGGGATGGTGGCAGGTATTGGGAGTGGGGAATTTGCTTTCCAACTTCAGAACTCACCACAATAGGCTTCCCCTTTCCCTTTCTAGTGTTTTCCTAGCTGTCTCCATCTCATAGCTTATTTACAGGGCAAGATTGCTGAGAGTCTTTGAGTACTAACAAAAGCTCTTCCTCTGGAATGTTGGATCTGGAATTGATATTAAAAACCTTCAAACTTGGTGATTATCCTTAAGCATCTTTCAGGGGGAACATACAGGGTGGAACAAGACCCTTGAGCTCTGCTACATGTCACTTTTCCAGTGACCACTTTATTTATGAGACCACTCCCCAGATTCCTTATCCTGCTCCCCACCCTAGTACTCATCCTTTACCAATAGATTCTGTAATTTATTTATGTTGTTTACTGTTTCTCTATCACCTGAATATAAATTACCAGAGGGCAGAGATTTTCCTTTTTTGTTCACAGCTGTATCCCTGGTGCCCAGAACACTGTCTGGCACATAGGAGAAACTCAATTAGTATTTGTTATATTTGTTTCATTTTGTATGGCAGTCCAGATAGGAAGTACAGCAGACACTGTCCACACACCCCACATCCCTTCAGCCCTTACCCCTTCCAAGCATACAAGCCTGACCTCCAACTGTGAGCACTTTGCATCTTTTTGCTTAAGGGATTTCTTTTGGCCTTCAGAGCCCATTCAGCTCTACACTACCTGACAGGCCAAAAGAATAGAGAATTAGCACTCTCTGGGAGGAGTCCACAATTAATGGCTGATTGATGGAGTTGATGGATTAAAACTCCAGCTTTCTCCCCCTTTGGTAGGTATAACTCTAAGTTCCCTGTTCTACATTATCCCCTAGAGTTACTCAGTGCAGGTAAGCTATAGTTGCCAACAGTGCCACTCACTTCAAACACATATCTTGTATTAGCTGTCTTCCCTTCCCTGGTTCACTTTCCATCCTTCATTCCCCATTTGTATTTTCTGGGATCACTTCCCAAGAAAACCATTTTCACTCAAATTCTTGTCTCAAGGGCTATTCCTAGGGGAACTCAAACTAAGATATGAAGCATTCAATAAGTGCTCAAATTAATTAATGATTATATTATTATACTACCTTTTATGCCTATTGGAGTAGGCAGCAAACTAGTGGGCTGTGGATGAGTTTTACCTGAAGATGTGTGTTGCTGGGTGGCAATATTTGAATATCTTTATGTATGACATGTACTAGACAACCACCTGGTATAGGCATTCATGTAACATCTTTTGGGTCTGGAGAGTGTGGAGGCAGCACACGGCAATGAGAAGCACAATTTAAAATATGTTACAATCACACACTGGAATATTATTTAGCAATGAATAGAAATGAAATATAAATATATGGCAAAACTTGGACAAACCTTGAAGACATTATACTAAATGAAAGAAGCCAGTCACAGAAAATCATATATTATATGATTTCATTTATATGAAATATGTAGAATAAGGAAATCTATAGAGACAGAAAGTAGGTTAGTTGTTGCCTAGGCTTTTTGGAGGGTGGGGGATCTGGGGGTTTGTTGACTAAGGTGGGGCTGGGATTTCTTTTTGGGGTAATGAAAATGTTCTAAAGATTGTGGTGATGGATGAACAACTATGATTATGTTAAAATCCATTGAATTGCATATTTCACATGGATAAATTTAAAGCATTTGAATTATATCTCAGTAAAGCTGTTTGAAAAAAGGGCTTTGATATCTGCCAAATTTGGAATCAAGTTCTTACTATGGAATATGCTTGCCATGCATGAGCCAAATGAGCTGTGCTGGTAAATGGTTAGTGGGAAAAAAGAAGGATGAGTCTTCTGTGTCTGGTTTCTTAGGAAATGGTGAATAGGGTTCAAATGAAGAGAGAGAAGTAAGGGAGAGAGCAAAGTACAGCAATGAAGAATAATAGTAAAAACTTCCCCTTATGGAGTGCTTGCTATGTACCAGGTCCCATACTAGGCATTTTGGCTTCATTATCTTTTATTCTACAATTCTTCATGGTAGTCATTATTATCTCTATTTTGCAAAAGAAGAAACCAAGGCCCATAAGGATTAAATGATTAACCCATGATCACCCAGCTAGTGAGTCCAGACATAGAATCAAAAACCTAAGTCTGTCTTCATCCAGAAACTCCATGCTTCCTGTTACTAACTGTATAGTAATTACAGTAAATACTTGGATAGGACTTCTGTGTGTCAGGCACAGTTCTAAGCTCTGTGTATATGTTAGCTCATTTAAACTATACTGAGGGAATGCCGGGTGAAAAAAAATTGAAGTGTGTTAGGGCCAGATTGATAAAGAGAGATTTGAAACATATATTTTTAAAAATTTTTTTTCAACGTTTTTTATTTATTTTTGGGACAGAGAGAAACAGAGCATGAATGGGGAGGGGCAGAGAGAGAGGGAGACACAGCATCGGAAACAGGCTCCAGGCTCCGAGCCATCAGCCCAGAGCCTGACGCGGGGCTCGAACTCACGGACCGCGAGATCGTGACCTGGCTGAAGTCGGACGCTTAACCGACTGCGCCACCCAGGCGCCCCTGAAACATATATTTTTTAAAAGTTCTCTAAGTTTCCTAAAATTGGAAAATCAGAAAATTCCAATATTTGTGTGTGAATTAGAGTTTTTTGGCAGAATATTATTAGAATTATTTTGCTTTTGAAAATAACTGGTATGGCTAAGGAAAATCGAAATATTAGGCTGTTTGTAAATTATTGAAGTTAGCCAAGAAACCATTTTGCAATTTGTATGAACTTTACCTTGTATTTAAAGGGAAGTCTTTAAATGTTTATGAATGTGGGACTGCCATGATATCTTCTAGAAATGTGAATTTCTGTTCTGTGGGAATAATAAATTGGAAGGAATACTAAAGAATAAATGTGGGAATATGGCTGCTGAGGTATTAGTACAACATTTCTAGAGAGATTTGAGAGAGTGTGTTACAGAGCCAGGGTGCTGGCAGTGAACGTGGAAAATAAGGGCAGGATTATAAGGGGTGGTGTAAAGGAAGAAGTAGTAAAAGGACTTGTTGAGGAGAGGCTGAAGAGAGAAGGGTATCAAAGGCAGCTTAAAAGTTTAGAGCCTGGGAAACTGTATTATTATCCATCCCCCACCAAATGACCCTGAGAAGGGATTAGCTTAACATGTTAACTTAGCATTTTGGTATTTCCTAAGGGGCGGAGAAATTGACAAGTAAACTTAATTCTTCTGAACTCTACTTTTAAAGCAAACATGCTTTGGAGGCATGTGCAGTGTCCTAGTCTGTATTCATGAGAGAGCTGTGGTGTGGTTCTTTTATCCAGGGCATTCTTAGAAAATGTTTTGTATAGTTAGAACATTCAAGGAATGATAGATCCATTTCAGGAGCTAAGTTCCTTGGTGTCCAAATCATAATCCACTTGATATGCTTTTTTATTTTTTTAATTTAAATTTAATTCCAGTACA